ATTTTTACCAAATTGATTAGCTTCGTCGGGATTCCGAAGATTTGTAGGGCATCGTACAGTTTTCTTCTGATAATGGTGTCATACGCCTGGCGGAAATCAATAAATAGTATGTGCAGTCCCAAATTTTGTTCGTAACTGTTGCTTTGCAGCATTTTCATCGTAAAGATCTGGTCCGTTGAACTTCGTCCTTTTTTAAAACCTCCTTGGTATTCCCCCACGACTCGTTCCTGGTGCTCAGTTAGCCTGTTCCGTATTATCCGCGCGAAAATCTTATATGCCACATCGAGAAGCGATATTCCGCGGTAATTTTCGCACATACACCTATCCCCTTTCTTATGTATTAGGCATACGATCGCGTTATGTCATTCCTGTGGCATTTGTTCTCTTCTCCACGCCTTTATGATCAGGTTCGTTACTGTCTGTTTAAGCCTTTCTCCTCCCCACTTATATAACTCTGCTGGTATGCCATTTTCTCCAGTGCTTTTGTAATTTTTTAAATTATTTAGCTCTTCTATTACTTCTGCTTTCGTTGGTTCGATTATTCCCTCGTGGTTGCTCCCCTCTTCTATCCTCTCTTGCATTTTCTCATCCTCCTCACGCTCATGCTCCTCTTCATCCCTCTCCAGTCTCCCGTAATACTGCATAAATATTCTAATCTTATGGGTGGGTGTTCCCGATCATTTCCCCCTTCTTGTTTTTTAGATGTGGAATGCTGCTGGGCTTTGAGTCTTCGCGATTTCTCTTTGCTTCCTGGTAGAAGTTTCTTAGCTCCTTGTTCGCGTACATTTTCCCTATTTTCTCTAGCTTCGCTTCCAAATACTCTCTCTTCTTTTGTCTGCATATTTGCTTGGACCTTCTGCTTGCTTCTTTGTACTCCCGTTTATTTGCTTCCGTACTGTGTATTAGTAGTTTCATTCTAGCCTCGTTCCGTACTTGCAGTATCTTCCTGCATTGTTCATCGAACCAATCCTTCTGTTTTCCTTGGTTTTTCTTCCCACCAATTTTTCCATGGTATCCTTCAATGTGTTTTCCATTTGACTCCACTCCTCCTCAATATTGTCTGGTTTCTGTAGCTTCTTTAATGTATAATCTAGCTGCTTCGCTGCTTCCGTTTGCACCTCTTGGTTTAGAAGTTTTTCCACGTTATATTTGACTAATGTGGTCTTTGCTGCTTTCCAGTTCTTTGGTGGGCCTTGTCTTAGTGTAGCAATTATTAGGATGTGGTCTGAGTCGATATCGGCGCCTCTGTAACTTCTTACATGTTGTATGTACCTTTGGTGTTTACTTTCCATTAGTACGCGATCTATCTGGTTTTTGGTCTTCGCGTCCGGCGAAATCCACGTTGTTTGATGTATTTCTCTGTGTTTGAAATTCGTGCTCATTACTTTCAATTTGTTTTCCAAAGCAAACTGTATTGCGATTTTTCCGTTTTCATTTGACTCATGGTGTTTACTATTACCCCCGGTTACTTTGATATATTTTTCCTCCCTTCCTATCTTGGCATTTAAATCACCTAATACCATTTTGACATCGTACTTGGGAGTTCTCTCCAATATCCTTCCAACTTCTTCATAGAACTCACTCTTAACTGTCAATTCCTTGTCCTCCGTTAGAGAGTGTATATTTACTATTGTTATTTTCCTATATCTCCCTCTGACTCGTAGTCGACAAATCCTTTCATTTACTGCCTCAAAATCCACTATTGTGTCCTTGATCTTATTGTTTATTAAAAACCCCACCCCTAGGTATCTACTTGCTCCTCCACTATTATAGAAG